CCCCACACCAACCGTTCTGGCCACAAGCTGCTGTCCCTCCTTCGCTCTGGCAGGCAGTACTGCACCATTAAAGCACGGACCACTAGGCTTAAGAACGACTTCTACCCGCCTGCAGTGCACATCCTTAACAGCTAACTGTGCAGTGCCTCAGAGCTCAATTCACCTCTTCTCTGTGTGCTTTTGACATGGGCTACCATGTATTTATTATTCTGGTTAGCTTGCAACTGTACATACTATCACTATTTATTACTTACCACTTTGCAATGCACTGTCTACATGGTATTGGCATTGTCTGTCACACCGTCGTCTGCTGTACCGTGTCCTAACAGATCAGTGTGAATAAGAATTCCAATGCACATGTACACATGACAATAAACTCTTCTGCTCTACAGAGAATGCACTACAGTTTTCAGTGGGGTCTTCATTAACGATTTAAAGGTTTTACAGAAAGCAGTATAAGCAAGAACGTTTTACATCATAAAAGCAGGATTACAATTTTAATGCAGCACACTGGCAGTAAACTGTGCTCGTGAGCCACTGTGCTGTAGGAAGGGGTAGAAAATGACACTTCTGTGAGCGAGATGGACAACGTCAAAGACGTGCTAAGAGCCAGCTTTTCAGGCCAGTGTGCATTTTCTCTCTAGCCGACCACGTGAACGAGAAAGGGATAAAGTACTACGACGACCTGATTAATCTTCTTCTGGAGAACCAGATCACCCCCATCGTCACCCTGTACCACTGGGACCTCCCTCAGGTGGGTGGAGAGCTGGAGAGCTGGAGAGGGGGTGGGGCAGCCATGGCTCTCCTGGTCAATTACATAGGGAGCCTTTCTTGCAGGCGCTCAGCAGCTGGGTCAAGCGAGTACTTCAGAGTGCCTGCGAGGAGTGAAATACTGTTTGGATCAAGCAGGGTGGACAGGAATTAGCAAGACTGCCTGCTAGTGCAGAAATCCCTGCTGACAGAACACCCCAGGTCTACCTCAGGTCTTGTCTGGACCTGGGCTTTTCTTCCTGAGATGAGGTCTCATTCAAGAGGAATGAGTAGATGGCCGCTGCTCGGGACGCGAAGACCCCACCGTCTCAAGACAGCGCAGTGCTGTTGACACGAAGACCCTATATTCCAGCATACATCTGGAAAGAAATGAGCAGTCGCATCTGCTCACTAACATGGGGAAATGAAAGTTCTGCACTTCAAAATAACCTGCTGAAGCACTCCATTTTGTTCGGTCTTTTCACAGGTCTTACAAGAGAAATACGGTGGGTGGCAGAATGTAAGCATGGTCAACTACTTTAATGACTACGCCAACCTGTGTTTTGAGAGGTTTGGAAACCGAGTGAAATACTGGATCACATTCAACAATCCATGGGTATGTCAAACACCAAACTCTGTTCTGAAAATATGGTTTGAATGCACAGGCTTGAAATACCTGAGTGTGCCCCTTTCTTTCTGAGTAAGTTGTATTATGTGGATCCTTTTTTCTTTGCAGTCTATAGCCGTGGAGGGCTACGAAACAGGGGAACACGCACCTGGGCTGAGGTTAAGGGGCACTGGCCCTTACAGAGCAGCTCATCACATTATAAAGGTGAGGTCTGGTGATAGCAGCAACTTGCTGTCAAACCAAGCTACCTTCCAAATCATTCAATCATAATGTGTGCACAGCTCTGCAGGAAATAAATACAGTGAGAATCATTGATACTTTCTGTAGTTTATGACAGCTTGCCCCTTGCGAGTTTTCAAATGAAATAATCCCTAATTTATACTTTTAGTCTCCTCTTCTAATTTCAGGCACACGCAAAGGTTTGGCACACGTATGATATGCAGTGGCGGAGGAAACAGAAAGGTATGCTGTTTCAGGACGGTATTCCCCACACGTTTTTGGTCATTTTTGGGTCAATGGTACTGCAGGAAAAACTGGAGACAGTATCAGGACACCTGCTTTGTTGTAACTATGTGCCCAGCAGTAAATGCTCCAGATCACATCCTTAAACCGAAACCACTCACATTCTGTGCAAAACCGTCAAGCACCACAACCACAGCCCTCTGTAGGATAGGAGGAGTGCTCTGGAATGCTCTGGCTGAGTCCTGTCTTTTCTTCCAGGCCTTGTGGGAATCTCTCTGGCCGCGGACTGGGGAGAACCAATCGACATCACCAGCCGGAAAGACATCGAGGCGGCCGAGAGATACGTCCAGTTCTATCTCGGATGGTTTGCCACTCCTATTTTTAACGGCGACTACCCTCAAGTGATGAAAGACTATGTTGGCAAGTTACAGTGCTGTAGATCAAGCAATAAGCTAGACTGATGCGGATTTGTTCGATTTTGTCTACATCATTTTAAGCCTTTTCTGGCGATGGTACCTTAAGCACATTTTTGGACAAATGAGCTTTGTGTCTATAGCCTCATCTGTTAATGATGAATAATTTAGATGCTGACTGAATTATCTTCTCAAGTATGAGCAATACAAGCACTGCAACAGACACTGCTGTCTGAGACCAGTGGAACATTATCCGTGCTTGATGAGCTGCCTGGATCAGTGTTCTAATTATTTACCAAGTTAGTGAACTACCAAGGTGCGTCGAACGGCCTCTTCTCGGGGGTGACTTTATCATTTCCTGCAGGGAGGAAAAGTGCACAGCAGGGCCTGGGGAGCTCCAGGCTGCCGGTCTTCTCATCCCAGGAGAAGAGTTACATCAAGGGCACCTGTGACTTCCTGGGCGTCGGGCACTTCACCACCCGCTACATCTCCCAGAAGAACTACATGTCCAGCGAAGGACCCAGCTACTTCACTGACCGAGACCTGGCCGAGCTGGTGGACCCCCGCTGGCCTGATCCTGGGTCCGAGTGGCTCTACTCTGTGCCCTGGGGCTTCCGGCGCCTGCTCAACTTCATCAAGGTAGCGCGCCTCCGCCACTGCCCCTTCACGCGTGGTCGAAACCCACACCGAAGGGGCTGTGGTGAGAGGTTTCAGAATTCCTGTAGAAAACCTCTGGTCCCTGGTTGCTTGGCAGAGGGAGTAAAGTTATTCTCAGTGCAGGTCACCATGCCATAGAGGTAAGGTGGACCTTTAACTACGTGTTGCCGTCACCAATAGATCATGTTGGAGTAGGTCCTCCACAGAGAACAGCTCTGAATAAGGACATCATGACTAAAAGTAAATGACTTATGATACGGAAGTTTATTAACGCCATGGAGAAAAAAAAGTTTGGAAAGCTGTGTCATTTCTGCTTGTCACAGAAACGGTGAAAACAACATGCATTTAACCGGGAATGCTTACAGACACGGTGTTGTACTTCATGTATACAAGACAGAACACATGACACGTTTGTTTTCCAAAAAGAGGAGTGTGACGATATTCTACTGTAGTTCAAGTCAATGCCACAATGCAAGGGACAATATTATTGCATATACAACACAATACAATATACAGTATTAATATAGTAGGTAACATTGTTCACTAAGTATTGCCCCGGCGTCCTGGACATATTTCCCGTTGGCCTTTACCAATCATGGCCAGCGAATAATCCCCCTCTCTGAACTGGCTTCATCACTCTGTTCTCCTCCCCACTGATAGCTGGTGTGTGGGGAGTGTACTGGCGCACTATGGCTGCCTTTGCATCATCCAGGTGGGGCTGCACACTGGTGGTGGTGGACGGGAGCCCCCATTAAGCGCTTTGAGTGAAGTGTCTAGAAAAGCACTATATAAGTGTAAGGAGTTATTATTGTTGTTGTTGCATGTAAATGCAATATTTTCTTGTAGAAACGAGAAACTTTTCTTGTATAAATTCAATAATCTTCTTGTATAAATGCAATACTGTCTCGTATAAATAAGATAATTTTTCTCTCTGTGGTGGTAATAAGCTTACGTATTATGCAAGTTAAAGCAATGTTTTGCTTTTGTCCTCATAGCACAACTAGTAATCTAGTCTTGGACAGCATTGAAAATTGTGGATCCATGTCAATCTGAGGGGATCATCAGATAAACTGTAGAGCAGAAAATGATTTTTGTAATGATTTAAATAGAACTTTCATTTTGATTGTGGGCGTTTGGCTGCAATGAATTAAGTTTTGGGGGTGTTTTATGACTTTTTCAATATCACCCCAGCACTGACTGATCACTGAGAATAACTATGGATAAGGACATCGTTACAAAAAGTAAATAACTTACAGTACATGTCAATCTGAGGGGTTCATTAGACATAAAGCAGAAAATGATTTAGTAACGATTTAAATAACGCTTTGATTGTGGGATTGTGGGCATCAGGCTGTAACGAATCATGTTTTGGGGGGTGTTTTATGACATTTTCAATATCACCTCAGCGCTGACCGTTTCTTGTTCAGACTCAGTATGGGAATCCTATGGTCTACGTGACAGAGAATGGAGTGTCAGAAAAGATGATGTGTACAGACCTCTGCGATTACTGGAGAATACAGTACTATAAGGATTACATTAATGAGATGCTGAAAGGTATGCAAAAACCAATCTCCCACCTGGCAACATGTACAGTATATACACAGTAAATAACATCTCAGCCTGGAAGTTCGGGTGGCTAGGAGAATCATCTGATAACGGGCTTCGCCAGCCCAAATCCTATTTTTAGTCCACAGGCATTTAGATTTTTTTAAAAACAGTCTCTCCATAAAAGAGATTCAGGAAGAGCTACAGCTCCCACCTGTCTGTCTGTCCCTCCTGCCGTCAGCCATCAAGGACGGCGTGAACGTGAAGGGGTACACGGCCTGGTCGCTGCTGGACAAGTTCGAGTGGGACGAGGGCTATTCCGAGAGGTTCGGCCTGTACTACGTGGACTTCAGAAACAAGAACAAGCCACGCTACCCCAAGGCCTCCGTCCAGTACTACAAAAGGATCATCAGCTCCAATGGATTCCCCAACCAGAGGGAGGTAAGAGCCGCAGGTGCTGCACTGGGGCAAAAGAGGCACACTTCCCGTTTGTACCCACATTCCCAGGAGACGGATCTCGGCTCAGACCCCATTCTTAAAATTCTGAAGCACTTAAGTTAATAATTAGGCAAAGGACATCGACTACTAATTCCTTACGCCAGCAGCCATATTACCCTGCAACTCACAACTGGCAGCCCACTGAAGCTAAGCAGGTGTGAGCCTGGTCTGTACCTGGATGGGACACCTCCTGGAAAAGCTAAGGTTGCTGCTGGAAGAGGTGTTAAGTGGGGCCAGCAGGGGGCGCTCACCCTGTGGTCTATGTGGGTCCTATAGTGACAGGGACACTATACTGTAAAAAGGCACCGTTCTTCGGATGAGACGTAAAACCGAGGTCCTGACTCTCTGTGGTCATTAAAAATCCCACAGATCTCACACAGAGTAAGGGTGTAACCCTGGCGTCCTGGCCAAATTTTCCCCTGGCCCTCACCAATCATGGCCTCATTATAATCCCCATCTATGATGTGGCTTTATCACTCTGATGTGTGGTGATCGTACTGGTGCACT